GGGGAGAACAATGAGTGACATTTACAAGACAATACTGTCTGCAGCCAGGGCCTCAAGGGAAAATCAGTCTTGGGGGAATACTAATATTCCTCATGATCTTCACAAAGGAGGGAGGAGGGAAAAAAATGGTCAGCTGGTTCTGATGAAGTCATTGAGGGAAGACCAGGAACACTATTACAGATAACTTCCACAAATTATTTCACACAGAATGATAAAAATTGCTGAGATACATGTATGAATGGTGGGATACCCTCCTCTACTCATTCCACATAGCTAGAGTTTCATTGAAGTTAGGTGGAGAACACCCATAATTTGTGATTGAAAGAGATCCGTGAACCAAGAGTTTCATGCTTTTCATACTGATTATAAGATCCTACAGCTCTGAAACCATTCTCTCCTCCTTCCCTAACATGGATGGGACAGAAAGCATTTTATTCCACAGACATAGGAGGCAGGAGGTCAGAGATGCTGAACTAAGCTTAAAGCTGTTGCCAACAGTAGAAAGGCACTCTTGCTGACGGTAACCAAACACCTAACTTCTGATGGACTACTCGGACTCCTAGAGACAGGGGGTGGGTACTGTTGCAAGATTTTAAGTTCATTCCTTGAGATTTCTTGCTTACACAGTCTTTCATTCCAGGTGATGCAAGCCAGAGTTCCAGAGCATGCTGGTTGAGCCATATAAGTCTCTTCTGATGGACATAAAATTCTGTCTAATGTAACTATGTGGAGAAAACTAAGCTGCTGCTTCCCAGTTAGCACTGCTCACATGTCCAAAGTCTCAGGAATTCTCTGAGAGTTCTGGAGATTTTTAAAGAGTACAAGAATTCATCCTACAGAGTAGAAGAAAGAATAGGGCTGGGGTAGAAGGATTAACAATAGATTAAAAAGACAGAAAGATATCCCCTAGGGAGAATAACACAGCAAATTGTTAACTTTGGACTTTCCTTCAGCCCTCTTTATCTTTAGCCTGGGCAACATTTAACTTTTCCTTAGAGATCGAAATCTTGTTTGTTGTCAATGAGAGCTTCCTGCAAGAATGATTTCTCTCACAGGAATCAAGCATCAACTGGACTGTTAAAGATATTAACAATCAAGACACACAGAAGTAGATCATGATGGGGTCTCAAAAGAGCTCCAACCTCCAAGACCTCTGCTGAGTTTATCCTGTACACTGTCCATGCTGGACAGGGAAGAAGGGAGGCAGCATTCAGTATGCTCAAAGGAAGAAAACAGAGAAAATGCAGTCTTCTCCCACAGGAGTTTTGTAGCACATCACAATTATATCATGCTGCACGCATGCAGCGAATTTGTTTAAATCATACTCTTTCAGCTGTTTCAGGAAAGAAAAAACTTCTATCAGATAAACAGAACAGTAAACCAAGTGCCATAAATTACTTCTGTAACAAAATGTGTATTTTCACTTTCCTGAGTTAACGAAGTACTTGCCAACACTGGCAAACAGTGAACGACTTGATTTCGGAGACAGCTCCAACAGCATGAAAGCAAAGGCAGTGAGCTACTTTTGACATGCGGAAACAGTCAATACTGACTTCATTGCCATAACATTTTGAAGAATTGCCAGGTCTTAGAATAATGGGTTTCTTGAAATAAATACAGGTTACTTATCCTTCCTCTTCTTTGAGTAAAAAAAACACAGAAAAGTAAAACTGATCATCCCACAGAAGTTAAAAGACAAGTTGACCATACCACAGATTCTCAGAAACAAGAGCTGTGAGCAGCAAGAATGACTCTATGCACTGAAAGTCTTTTAGGTAAGCCAGTGACGCAATAAATGGTCGTATAGAACATCACATTTACGTAGACAGGTTAGACAGAGAGAGGAGACTGCCACTACTTATCATTAGAGAATGATAAGATAAATACTACTGAATTGCAAAGGTAGGAGCAGACTTTTTTTTTTTCTTTTTGAAGAATAAATGATTTATCACCTATAAGAAACCATCTACATAGAAACGCTTGAAGTTTTGCCTTGCATCACAACTGAAAAGAAGGCATGAATAGTTGCTGCAGCAACAGCACACTTCACATTCTGGAGTGCAGAAGAGTGTAGGGATAACCTACGTTGATACTACTATTAAAAATAATCTGATGATGCATACCAACGAATTGAGTGCTCACTTGGGAAAAAATGGTCCTTCTTCCTTTTGTCTGTATATAAGAGTTTGAGTACAGTGAAGATGTAAGTGGGCTATGGAGGAAAGAGGACAGCTGACATAATTTTCTCTGTGTTTTTTCAGTTTAGCTAAGGCCCTAGTTCTGCAAATACTTGCAAGATGTTTAACTTTTACCTGAGAAGTTTGCTATAGGTTTCAACAGGACAACTAATATATTTTAAAAAGTCAAGTGCATGTGTGTAGAAAATTGCCAAATCAGGCTCAAAAAGTTACAGGGACAAGCTGCATTTGTAAAGAAAAGCACCTCCTCTTTTACTGCTGATGCAAATTCAATGCAAATGCAGAAAGCTCCCATAGCAATGTACGGTATTAGAAAACATGGAATAAATGTCTAAAAACAAGTGACATCAAATGCATTAAAATTAATGATGTTAAGTCACTTCTGTAACTGATGCTTAGAAATGATGGCTCATTTTTATGAACATTGATACAAAATAACAGTTCTCTTACTTACTTTCAACATGTGCAAACGCACAAAATGGACCACGTGGGCAGTAACCTGTTTGGCGCATGTCATTGCACTTCGTAGATTTATATATCTAAACAAAACAGAAGGGTGGTTAACCTAAATGTATTTGTTATGTAATGACAAAATAGAAAATTTTAAAACCTTTAAAGGAAAAATTCTGAATATTTACTAACAATATGTATTACACAGTTTGCTCAGAAAATTCAGTTCTTATGACCAGTTTTAAAAATCAAATAGAAGAGCAGAATTTTAAGAAAAGCAAACCTGAGACAAGGGAATCTTAACCCTCTCCTGTATAATAATAAATAGTAAGTAACAACAATATTTTAGAAAAGCAGTGTTTAAACCGCTTTGGTTTTCCATGTTGTATAGAAACAAGTCAAACATCAGGAATAAAATTTTCAAAGTCATTTACACCACTTTAAGAAATCTTGCAGCAGAAATGATGTATGTAGTAGAGCGGCTTACAGAGCTGGAAAAAAAAAAGAACCAGTATGGTTTTTTTCAACACAGTTCCTTCATTAGGACACCTCTAATATGCAAATCATCCTAACATTCAAATATCTTTCTCTAACCTGACTGGCTGTGTGAGAACTGAAGTAATACTGACTGTTCATGACAGTAATAATTACGTAAGTTGCTAGTAAGATCCAGATTCAGTTTCATGCTCTACCAGGACCTTGATGATCTTTGAATCTCACAAGCCTGGGAGGAGGGGCTGACATACTATCATATTAGAACAATATTAAGAACCTATTTAAAAGCACATAGATTCTTTGAAAATTATCTGGTGATGTGCAAGTCTGTGGCAAACAGCAGAGCGATCTTTTTGGTTCCCCAGACCTTGGTACTGTGGTCTTTGGCTTTCAGTGTCAGCTGAGTAATTCATGACTCAATAAGTAATAACTCTTAGCTCAGAATGCCACTTCTTTGGCACTTTTGCATATCCTGTGTAAAAAAAATGTTTACCTTGGACTACTGCCTTAGAGTAAACATGAAAAATTAAACTATGCACTAAAAACAAATCATCTAGTTCTGTAAGCTCTTTATTTTAGAGCTATTTCAAGTATCTTAGATAAATTTCCCTCTCATAAGCAATTCTGAATTGAGGCCAAAAATTTAGTTGCTATATTCACTACTAGTTCATGCATAACCCAAAGATCATCCAAGAAACTGTAGTAAAATGCTACATCATAAAATTATTACTGAGGCTTATCACTCTACAAATAATTTGTTTTCCCTTGAACACTGAAAAGTGACAAAACATCCGTGCTGTAGACAAGTATTCACCCAAATGACACGTTTAACAAACAAAACAGTGGGACTGATCTTTCCACCAATTTCACTGGGAGCTATCACAGACATTGCAAAAAATGAAGGAGTCATTTGTGGATAACATACTCGAACTAGGAGATTAAGCTGGGCCCGTCTCCCTCCTTTCTTGTTCTCTGTTTATTGGTTAAATATAAAACTCCAAGCTGTATACATGATGCTAATGATGCAGAAGAAAAAAATATGAGAAGAGGAGACTTCCAAATGATTTCAACAAAAGATGTAATTGGAAATTCAGGTCCTAGCCAAAAAATAGCCCTTCTGATCCTATGAGCTACTCAGATGGTGCGGAGTGCCTTCTGGTAAATGGTACAGATTCAAGAAGTGGTAATATAGATAATACCAAAATACTATTGGGGCAGACCTCACACCTCAAAGACTGATTCTGGAGATGGTCGCATCATCTACACATACCGATATTACAAGACAGACGGCAAACTCAAAGAACTAAACCATTACAGAAGACTTACTTCCCAGCTATAGACACGAACACGGCTGCTATCTATTGTAGAATCAAGCTATTCCTGAATGTGGTAACCAAGAGATTTCTTCAAAAACCAGTCACTAAGTCATGAGGCAATGACAATATTCTTTATTTGAATTTGGTAAAGAATGAGTACATGAAAACATCCAATAAGAGAAGATAATGTTGGATAAAGTGAGTATTAATTCAACTTAAATTAAAGGACATAAAAATGTAAGGCTTAACTAATGTTACTGACATCAAATATGCAGACTGAGGAACGAAAGCAACTGATTATCACCGTTAAATAGACTGAATTTCATTATGAACTGACTAAAACGAGTGCTTTGAATCCTCAAGTCAGAGGTACAAAAGCTGTATGGAATTCCCATTCTAATCACACAACTGGATGGAAGTCAGAGCTGGAACAAAGCAGGGAAAGGATCATATGGTATGATGTTGAATGAAAACTCCTCTTTCAGTGCAGGTACATTGCTAGTTTCTGTGAAATTAAATACTAGACCTAAAATTAGGTGAAGTGATAAGACTATCCCCACTACAACTGCCTTGATTAGCAGTAGGAATTATGTTCAACACTGCAACAAAGGCAGCACAGCTAATGGAAACAAGGAGACAAAGACTGAGGTGACTACAGCTGATGTGGAAGCAGATCACCATCAGTTCAGGAACAGGAAGTGAATTAGGAAATTGTTATATCAGAATTTTCTTTTTAATGGCAAATAAGACAGATATAGTTAGCAACTACTTTTAATAAAGCTGACACATCAGACATAGCACGTATAACTGAGCTATATTAAGTATAGCTCACAGATGTTTGAGAAGAGCAAAAATAGTTGATTCAGGCCATTGCATGTCCACTAATTGTTCTGTCTGTCACCACTGAGATTAAAAACAAAAAGAAATGGGATAAAATTAAATGTACATTTGACAAAGGCACATCGTGGTAGACTCACCATATAATTTTGATAAATCAAAGGTCCTTCTCTAAAATGGAAATGTGGACATTCTAGTAAGGACTTCAGTAAAGGATGTGGTAAGATTCATTAATTAAGATAATGAAGAACATTTACCAATGTTACATATCTGCTGTTAAATTGACTAATGGAGAGATGACAATGGACGGTATGAAAGAGGAAGGCAGCAGGCAAAATTAGTAGCAGAACTCAAGGCTCAGCCTTGTGACTTATTTTAGCACTTTCATTCACAGCTTTGTCATAAATAAAAGTATGGTAGCAAGACTAAGCAGGAAGACACCTTTACTACAGGAAAGGGCTGGAATGTGATGCAGAAGAAATTAGATGATCTGAAATATATCTGGACTGTAAAATCTCTAGTAATCAGGACAGTGAAATTCTGGGGCAGCAGGTCAAGAGTAGAAATAGCTGATACCTATTTAGTATAAAGATGTAGCTGGTCAACTTATGATAGGGAATGTATGATATCAAGCTTACAACAATCTTGGAGTCAACATCCTAAGAATTCCTTTCCCAGAATGGTCTTGAGATGCTTTCAATAATCTTCATAATTGGAAGAGAAATCAGCAATTGCTTGAATGGTCTTTGCTTGTATCTTACTAAGTATTGAACTTTCTAATGCAAGAAATTACATCCTGATGTGAACTCCTCATGTCCATTCAAAGGTCCAAAAATGAAAAAAGATATGCAATGTTGCACAGGCAGCTTCTAGCATAACATGTCTTTTCAGTACAATATTTGTTTCAATTAGCTGGCACATTTAATATTTTCATAGCGTCACATAGGAATTAAATCTCAGCAGATTGCACGGCACTGCTCTCTTCCCGAGCATTTCACTGTTACACTCAAGCATCCAACAAAGCTACAATAACTTTGCCTAGAGGAATCTAAAATCACATTGTTTTTCTGGAGTGTCTTACTTCAGCCACTAGGGTAGTGTTGTTCTCTTTCCACCTCCTCCTGACCTATTCAGTTACTCTCAATTATTTGCAATAAAGCTTTTTTAACTATACTTGAAATACAAATTTGTCCCAAGTTACTGAGTAGCAATTACTACTGTGACTTCATTACCAATCCGGCAAGTTAGGTAAAAAAGAGAACATAAGATTTTATTTACGCCCAAATCAAGGGAATATTAATTAATTTTTCATAAGCAGCACAATAAAAATGCCTATCAGTGAAAAAGACACCAGTACAAATAACTATTTCTTAGCAAATTTTGTTTTGCTTAAGCAAATACCTCAACAACTGGAAGTGTTGAATGAAATGTCACTTTTTTTCATAAATAATATCTTTAATCGATAATCTAATCCATAATAAATTTGAAATTGCTAAAAATAAATAGAAACTTAGTTCTTACCTCAGGATGAAACTGCTGCTCTGTACGAGAATGACAATATTGACAGCTATCCCCACTTTCACACCTTGAAGGTTCACCCCATTCATCTGCATGTTTTACACTTGGGCAAGGAGTAGACCTAGGAAAAAAATGATGTCCAGAACATGTTTGTCTCTACTTCCTAGCAGAAGTCTCAAACAATTTCCCACGAAATCTCAGAATCTTAGATTGTGGGACCTATAAAGTTGCAAAATCTGAGAGACACTGACATTTTGGAAATTCTTTGACAGAAACATGAGCTAGTAGGATTCTATCTATCTTCTGTCTTATGATATTTATTCACAGTCCTGAGACTGTCAAGCAAAGTCCATCAATTCTAAACCTTGTATCACTGCATGAAAAAACACCAAAACCAATGAAGAAACCACAGTGTAGAAGAATGATGTAAAATGATGTAATGATGAATCATGTAACGATGAAAAGTAAGAGAGGAGGTGCATTAAATTTTGGTCCTAAAAATATTGCTCAGAAATAGAAAATTATAGAACAAAACCAGAAACAAAGACAGAAATTATAACTGATCTTTTCATAACAAAGAAAGTTTGACCTAGTGATTCCAATTTTTGCTAAGAATTATAGACATTGTTTTCATTCTTCACAAGAATAAAGGATATTTCCATCACAGCTTCACAGTTTTTGTCTTCAAAACTGTCTGATCATTCTGAATAGATACATTTTTTCCCCCAAAAAAAAATTTAGCAACGCTATTGGGAAAGATGTGTTTTCATTTCATTAGGAATATCCAATTGCATTATAGAAAAATGCAAACAGATCAGTCCATTAACAACTGACTGACTAAAAGTCTATTTTTAATATGTATTGATGTACCTGTATTTGAATTTTCTGGGATTTCGTCTTCTATCTCGACTATTGTGATAGTGTGGACATGCATAACCCTGGCGGCAGAGTCTGGGTGGCTTGGTACATTGTTCTGTCTTGTAGCCCGCTAATACAAAATTTGTGTCTGTAAACAGGTCAACAATTAAGAGAAATAAACAACTAACTTTTGCATTCAGAATGTCTTTTGTGAGCTCAGGTATCACACTGCTTTTTGTAAAAAAATTGTGATTCATAGACCCCTCCATTCTTATAAACTTAGAGTGACTCCTGCCTTTCTTAAAATAAAAGTCTAATATGTTTACATGCAAAGCAATCTTCATTGCTTTTATATTCAATAGCAATATTACAATAAAGTACACAAATAAAGCACTAGCAATCTATTGGTAGAGAAACTACCTGGAGATTCTCATTATATATATTTAACATTTTGAAAATTCATACCTGAAAATACATTATTCATTTTAACAAGACAAACACTAAAAACTTATACAATTTTATGTCTGGATTTCTTTTAAGCTTAGTGCTTCTTTCACCAAAACTGTTTTCATGTTAAGGCATGTTAAGGCTGTCCAGTAAAATATTCCTGGACAAATTCTAGAGCCTCTTCTCTACCTTTGCCTCTGTCTCTACATCTTTGGTTCCACGAAGGAGGAACTAGGAGATGACAAACAAGGTTCTGTCTAGAAACAGGAAAATTCAGAAAAATAATGGAGCAAGTAAATAAATTAGAAGGCACGATTTAGCTAACAGCAAGCATGGGTTTGTGGGGAGTAAATCATGTCAAACCAATCTAACTTCTTCCTAAGGTAGGAAAATGGATGTAGGTAAAACAGAAGGAGTCAATGTCACGTATCTTGACTTCAGCAAACCTTTTAGCCTGAGATGCTCTCAAAAGCAAACTGTACAACACTACAAGACTCCTGTAGGATTTGTGGAAAACTAGCTGAAGAAACATTCTCAGAGAGTCATTAATGATGTACTTTCAAATAGCAAAGATTATTAATCAGAGTATCACACAAAGTCTATTCTTTGTTCAGTCCTTTTCAATAGTTTCACTAAAGACTTAGGAAAATAAGGCTGAAATCACTAGTTGGATGATTTTCAGTCCCCACAAACTACGTGCAATCTCACCATACTTACAGGGATTGACAGAAGCCATACAACATTATATAACACAGACCTGTCACTATGCAAGGAATGCAATAAAAGTGCTTGTAGTTGGTCAATTTTGCTGTCTTTTAACATCAAACATCCAATATTTTTTGATCTACAGCTGACAATTAAGCTCTACATGTTACTAGTACTTAAACGGTTGGAACTCACCCTATAGGAGATTTAAAAAATATAGAGGGGACAAGTATCATACAACTATCTTCCCTTGAATTCCTTAGAGACAGCATCTTCATGTGACCTCTTCCTGTGTTACTGTCCCCACATGAATTTCGTGGAAGTAACTGTACCCAGCAGTCTTTTCTAAACTAAAATTTGGGCAAGACCTCTAACAATATCTGACTGATAGTAATATCTTTAGCTACATAATAAGCAAGTCTAAACCAAGAACATGAGAATCAACTTTGAAAGCCTTAAGAAAAATAGAGCAATTTGATTTACTTTAAGAGATCTAATACAGCGCTTTCAAGCCATTCTTGTATTTTAATACACTGCTCCAATTTTCTGTTTAATATTCTACTTCATTCCTATCAGTTAAGTTCAGCAAAGAATAACAGTCCACTAACTAGCCTTTTAATGACTCAAAAAATGAAGACTCTAATCATTACTAAGCACAAGACAGAGCTCCTACTGACTTTTAAGAACATTTATTCACTTGACACAGAGTAGCAACACTTGTATCAAGCAAACTGAAAAAGATCTATTAAACATTTTCAGAACAAAATATTTGCAAAATGCAATCTGAATATAAATGTGACAGACAGTACAACTTGTTCACAAATATCTGTACTACTTATATAAACCATTTCTTTATTCTGTTTGAAAAGGCTTTTGCCCTTCTCCCAGATGAAGATCCAGGATCAACAAATTGAATCAAACACCAATAAACAGAGAAAGGAGACAGGGTAACGTTACCCTGCCATCTTGGATCTTCACTAAGGATCTTCTCAATCATTGCCTGGCTTGCTAAAATTCCTGGTTGCAGATCTGGAAGGCCTTCACCACATCCTAGCTGCCCATTCTGTAAGGTTTCCTGTGCCTGAAGTTCTCTGGAATGGGGAAAAGAAAATAACACTGCTAAACTGTATGGCTACAGTAAACCTATCTGTCACAGGTATAATCCTGTCCAAATCTGTCAAAATTCTGTCATTTAATCCAGCTCTTAACAAGCCTAAACTGTAAAAAAAATTAAACTGACTATATTTCAAACCATCACTTGCACTGAAGCTGGCAAACAATTGTAAGGAATAGCCACATCATACAAAACGAAGAGAACGCATGAAGGAATGCTAGCATTATTTACACAAATAATGTTTGTACCAGCAATGCCCATCTGTACCTCTGCATGCTGGTGTGCCGACATTCTGAATATGCTATTAATTTCTGATATTCCACTGCCACATAGGACATGGTAGAACTAAAAAAAATACAGAAAATGCAATACGGGTGATCAGAAATACAGAACTCCTCCTCTATAAGAGAGAATTAAATACCCTAAGACACTTTGCCTTGGAAAAGTTATGACTGCAGGAAGGTACAAAATATAGCTATTGAATACTACATCATACAAAAGCAGCCAAAGTACTTTTGGCTCACTGTAAGATTTTGCAAGAAAAGTTTGTCAAGACATTTAGGAGACCTAGTAACAAACAACAATCATTATGAGAAAACGGAATTTCTTCTGCCATAATTTACAACTGCTATGCAAGCAACCACAAGCTTGCTGAAAGATCAGAATGACTACTACCAAACTAAAAGATATTGTATTAGTGGTGTGAAACCTCTACCAAAAATCTGAGACAATTTTATTACACTATTTTAGTAAAATTAAGCCGTATAGAGATTCAACAACAGCAAATTAGTACAAAAGATTTGGAAAAAAAAAAATAGCATAACTATATCATGCAGACTTTGAAGCAATGGAGAAACAAGGTGAGGAATCAAGTACCAGAGGTGGATCTGTAGTACTCTAAGAGAATCAAAGGCCTCTACCTTCAATTGGCACCGCTTTCTCTACACACAAACATTCAAGGAGTTTACCTCCTATACCAAAATACTCCTACTCAGGATCTCTGAAGAGGAGTTTGAAAGGTGTGGTGGTTTATAATGTAACTAGTTATGATATCACTTACATATAATTTCAAGAACTTCCCAGACACCAAGTATCCTCCAAGAAAGAAAACATCAAAGGGAAAGGAAGACAAGAAAGACCCAAAGCCAAGTCTAAAACCTTTCAAACAGTAAAAATATTTCTTTTACAGATTCAGAAAAGGTGCAGGAAATAAGAAGGAAAACAGATAGTTCCTAGACAGTTCTTTTTCTTTAGCATGGATATGTAGAAGAACAAGGCTATTAAGGGGAATAAAGTTAACATCTGCATCAGTCATTCTACTGTTATTTCTCTGCTCTTTACTTAAAATGAAGAAACCCCAATATCTTCATCCATCGTAGAGCAAAAAGACCACCAAGGAAAATGTAAGACCCGACTGTTTGGACATCCTTATGAATGCTGGATGCCTGAAATCCAGAGAAGCAATGGCCCACAACTGTTTTTCACAAACACCAAAGAAGTTTGAGGCAGCCTGCTTGTAGGTTCAAGCCATTAAACATAGACTCCTACCACAAATATCTTCAGCTCCTCCTGATGCTCCGTACACAGCCAATCACCAATAAACAATCATGTAACACAGTAAAAGACATGTAGAAAACGGAGCTTGGTTTCGGTCTTGCTACACATTGGTTCCTCATTCTAATACAAAAGATTACAAAGATACTAAGCGTTCTGTATTCAAACTGACATGGCATCATGCTGCATATGCTAAATGAGGAAAGTTAAAAAGAAGAAAAAGAAAATGACAGATGTCTTGCAGAAGAAGCATCAGCTAGCTAACTGACGAAAGTCTTCTGGAAAGAAAGCTATATATAACTAAACAGTATGTGCCCAGGCAATGCAGCAGTAAATTCTGTGGCAAAATATGAATTTAAATAATTATGAAATTACTGAAAAGGCACTAACTTTACTAAAATTATTGTGAAGGGAGAGTTATCATCTCCCAACAGATGGTTGGGAATAAGGGATGACAAAGGTAAGAATGTAAGATAGCAGCCCATACCAGCTCAGATCAAAGGTTCATCTAGCCTGGAATCCTGTCTCCAACAGTGGCCAATAGCAGATGCCTAGGGAAGAGTATAAGAATAGGGCAAGCGCATAGTGATACTTCCCCAGAATGCTCTTCCAGCATCCAGCAAGAGATACTTGTGACCCTCCAAGGCTTCAAAGCTCTCTAGGGATTGGTACCCTTTCCTACTGAGTACATACAGACCACTTTCTGTAGCAAGAGCTCCTCCTCCACCCATTTATAACACTTCCCAACAACACGCTTATCTCCCAGCTTTGGCCACAGATAAAACTCATACCTACCACTACCCTGATTCACAAAGCAACTTCTTTCGACAATAACTTGATTATACATTATAGATGCAGAAAATAACACTGATAACTTATACATGAAAAAATACAACATAATTAAATAAAACCGCAATGTCAGTAGGCAAAATGTCAAACATATAAGCTGAGAATCTGAAAGATGGTTTATCAAAATCATAAATTTGTGAATGTAAAAGCCACATGCAAATTTACAAGGCATAAATGACAAAAGGCAGAGTATCTGGTCTTTTATCAGTCATAAGAATTATATACACGGCTCTTGAAACTGCAAGTTACAAAACCTTAGTATTTGTATTTCCCTGGGTGCTTCTATCCGCTATTACAACGCACAGTGAATTGCATTATTATGCTTACAGTTACAGAAGCAAGTATATTTTTCATGCAAAGTATACTGCATTTCCTGGTATGTAGTGATAACAGACATGTGGTATTTCCTGCTAATTAGGCTGAAGAATTTGAAACAAGACTACCTTATATCATATACTGGTGGTCTAAGGTCATGTGGACCATGAGCAAAGGCACAGTGAATTCCATTCTTCACACAGTGACCCCGGGCATCTGTTTCATGAATGCATGTTCCAGTCTTGTAGTATCTGAGATGATACTTCCTTTCTGTATCCCCTGTTGTTCGATGCAGGTAAGGGCAACTACACAATAGAAAAAGGAAAGTTAGAGCATTGCTTAGAGTTTTGTTTCTAACAATTTAATTCTGAATTATGCTATATCTCTTATTAACTTATAACAAGTAACTTTGCAGGATTCTTCAAACAAAAATGGTCCCAAATAAACCACCATCACAGATCAGCTTCAAAATGAAAAATATTAATCTATTTCTTAGTCTCTGCTAAAGTTATAAGAATTTATAGCAGGGTAGCTCACAAAGATATTATTAATAAATCTAGTAAGCACCCCTGCAAACAACAATACCATCTAAGCTAAGGAATAACATCTTCCATACTGATACAAGCTCAAATAATTTCTACACTAAGAGGTGTTTTCTTTTTTTTTTTTTCTTTTTAATGTTATCGTCATCTAAAATCAAGGGGTACTTGAAGCACAGTGATTTTTTTTCTCTGCCTGCTCTTTATAGACATGGAACTTATTGAACAATCTCAGAGGAAATCTAAAATGACTCTTCTATTAAAAGGAAGAGAACAATTTTTACATCAGCAATACACCTTTGTACATACACATTTTTCAGACACAACTATGTCTGTACTTTAAAATGGCTAGCATCACGTATGGATTATAAGTTCAACCATCAATAGTTAACAAATTTTTAAAAACTTCGAAAAATATATACACAGGGATGTCTGTTCTCTCCCAGTTTATTTCAGTGTAATTAATTTTCGTCACTGCTGGTTTTGAAAAAATACTCATTTCCAAAAACTATTTTCCCCTACCCCAAAGAAGCTGCATGAAAAAGCTTAGAGAGTGATACAGAACAACAAAAAGTCCCACAGAAATATTTTACTTTGAATGGAGGCAGAATAGCAAAGCACTAAGTAGACTTTAATTTATGCTGGCTTAAGCTTTATTTACTATATTCTAAAAAGGTTATTTAGAAACTAAACAAATGCAATTGTTTGCAGACACTTACAAGTCTGGTATTTAAACATTTACATCAAAATCATACATTTTTCCTGCTGTGCTGAACACCTGCAGCTTGTGCTGACTTCCAGGAATTGATACTGTTTATGATTTCTGAGAATGAAGCTGCTTCCTCGTAGGAATTTAAAACCAGCACTCTGTTAAACAAGACAAATGGGGAGCAGCTAGTGATTTGCACCTATCTCTTTAAATACCAACAATTAATTAGTGAGAAGACTAGGTATAGCAATGTCAGTACTACATCTCATTTTGTTAGTGTAAGATGGAGCACAGTCTACACTCAGGATCTGAAAGTAGTTTTTTCACACTTGGCTCTACATGGAAAGACAGACAGGATGCAATCTTTGTTGGATCCATTCTAGTGCCTCAGCTGAACTTTTTGAGAAATTGTGATGTGTGAATAGCACTAACGCAGCACTCCTGTTCTGCTAGAATTGCTACTGATATGGAAAAATGAGAAAACCCACAAAAGTCAATCAGATACTTTTGCCAGCACTAGTCCTGTACAGAACTCTAAACAAGAGGAAATGCAATATATTTTTGTTATTGCTAACTGTCCCACCACTAGCAGAATCTTTGCAAGGGTCAAGTATTTCCATTTTCCTAGCAGACTGTTGATTACAAACTCTAATCTTTCACTTCTATATGCACACCTCGCAAAGGTGAGAATACTCTGTCATATTCTTATGCATAATGTTCACGCTTTCATTTTCATGTACTCAAGTTTGCTGGTTCCTGTTGGAAACAAGAATTAAATGTCTTATCTTCCATGCAAGAAGTGTACAGGTGTTTACATCTCATTGCTTGCCTCTAAGTTCATGGTTCCTTATCAGAGGGCAAACATTTTTGCTTAAATATCTGCAGTTTTTCCCTAGAGAAATTGCCTTATCAGTGGAGGTCCCAAAAATAAGATGTTAAAGTCTTCAATTATTTTTAAATTACTGTTAAAAACAAACAAAAAAGATAATTCAATGGAATATAGACACAGCTTGTCAGAAAAACTAAGCGCAACTTGTTGTATGCAATGTGAGAGAGGGAGAAATACCCAGGTCACAATTTTTCCCACAAAAAGACAACATGGGTTCCAAAAACAAGCTGGGAAAGAAATATTACCTGTGTCACATGACTCTTACTTCTGCTAAATTAAACCCAGGTTTGTTTGCCCTACGATTCAATACTTACCTCATCAATAGCTAACAAAATCTGAATTTTATTAAAAACACAGCTTTCCTACTGCACATTTTGCTAGCTGCCTAAAGAGTCCCGTAACAGGTGAAGTCCTACTCCAGAAACTAACAGAATGCTTTAATGAGGCTATCCAGTGTGACCAGGCCAGTTTGTTCTCTGAATTTTCTCTAAGACTTGTAAAGAACTAGATAAGGGCTAGTTCTAAAAGTGACTCAGGAGGACTAAACAGCATGCAAACCTCAAAGAGCAAAAATGATGGTATCAATTTTGCATGTGTATGTTTTACATAAAAATGTGTTATTCATACAATACCACAATAATGCATATGCTATTAACCACAGACATCCTGATCAGCTGTAGTTTATTGTAGAATCATTAGTCAGAACGGAAAAGAACCCTAATAAAAGCAGCTTTTAGACAGCAGATAGTACTTATTCACACATAGTATCAAACTAAGCCAATAAACTGAAATATCCACAGATGTTCTACTCAACCTTTAATGAACTAGAGGGATGTTAGATCTTACCTTCACTTTATTAATGAAATATTTTAATGTAGCATAAACCATTGTAAACAAGACTACTATTTTGATTTAAAATGGTGATTTTGATTATCATCAGATTACATGCTGCAAACTGATAAACTTTTTCTCACATACCATAGTCCCAGGCAGAATAACAAATCTATTTCATGGTCCACATTTCTACAGCCATCTCCCAGATTAAAATAACTGCACTGAATCCTAACCTAGTAATCGTGAATCAGTAAAGAACATTATTCTGAATTTTTAAGTTCTATTGGAGTGTACACACAACGTTTAACTATTGAAATCAGCTTTATTTTCTGCATCCAGATCTCACAAAATAAAACTGTCATAACATTATTCAAAGTAAGTAGATGTATATACCATGAAACAGAACATACACTCATAAAAACTTAAAAGGTTAACTGATTACTGAAATGTATATTCCTTTTCACAGTCGTCTTAATTCACATCATAAACATCCCAAAGACATCCTTTAAGAATAAAACAGTTCCAGTTCAAAGGGTAATGCTAGATGCTCTTAAGTGTATGAAAACAACTACATAGTTCTACTTCTGTTCAGCCTTGAGGCACTGACATATTTTCTCCTACAATTACTTGAAGCGCTCTTCTGTAGTAGGCTTCTGTACTTCATTCACTCTTACAGCAGACTTATGTTACAGATACTAGCATATCCAAAATAATCTTCTCTTTTAGAATCTGAGACCAGTGGCTTACAACAGTTGAAAAAACACATCAGATTAAAAAAAAGTATCACTTCTATCCTTACTTGTGAAATTGCGAGGAACACTATTCACTGCTCAAAATATATGCCTCTAACTCTGCAAGTAATCTAACCTTTCGCACAGGCCCCTCCTTAGAACAGATTGTTTTAATTTGTTACCCTTCGAAAAGTCCTTTTCTAAACAGCTTTAAAATTTTGGCCTCCTTTTATTCCAGGTTGAACTTTGGAAAGAAATATCACAGCAAGCCTGGGTGAAATCAACAATTTCTACTTTAACTCTCTTGAAAGTATGTTCCTGAGAACAATTATGAGTGTCATCACTCTACCGTTCTTGCTAGTTCTCTGTCAACTCACAGACTGCATTAACCTAACACTGTATTCAGATGAGGAGAATAGAAAAAGAGGGACACAGATAAAAGCCAAAAAAATATCAGCATGTTGTCAGAGACAGCTTAAAATGAAGGTGTACTGGCACTACTGTTTATAACTTATTTCTGTAAGAACTTGAAGTTGCTCCAAAGAAAAGACTAAATTTTAGACCGAAGACAAAATGAGGACATAAAAATACTCTTTTGCTGAGTTCTGAAACAGGAATGCTGCCACACTGTAAGCATGTCCTCAGAAATGTTGGTGTTTTCCTTCATTTTTATCTCCTGCCACTACAGACATGCTCTGGCATCATCTATCATTAAGAAAGTTACCTTTGACTTCTCTTGCCTTTCCCAACTATTTGCCCTCTATGCCTTTTCTCTTCTACCTTAACTTCAATCAGCTATCAACTTACAATATTTGACTGCCATTTCCAGCCACCAGTTCTCAGGATCAGATCTAAAATAAGGCCTCCACCATTCAGCTGAAACTTCTCGCACAAATGTCTCCAATAATTTCACCTTATAACTGAGTCAAAGAAAACAGACTCCATTTTCTCTACTCACACCTATCTTCATTTTCTTAATTTACTGTCTGCTTTACTCAATTTTTCTCCCCTTGAAACATCATTCTCCTTTGTTTATGGGAATTCAGTTATGTTCACATTTTCCTCTCAATCCCTCCTGCAGCATATCTTCCAACTTCAACATTCTCTTACACCTCTGGTGAGGGGTCTCACAGGACTCCAACCTTGGTCCTTGCTCTTAATCTTCCACATCTAGGCAATTTCACTGGAGAACACAAACTTGAAAAACACCACCTCTTTGCTGGTAACTCCTAAACATATCCATTTATTCAAACTGTAAGCACGACATGCTAAAACAGAGGTACGAATCTCACTACTGGTCTTACTTCTGGCAAGTCTTCTGCACTTCCATTACACCAGACAATACAATCACCCTGTTTGTCATTTAGGCTCCTAACCAGAGAGTAATCTTCAGCAACTGTAAGGAACAACCTTTCCAATCCAATTGCAGCAAAAAGGTTTCCATGTCATATCTCAGTTATTGAAACATCTCCTCTTACTTGCTTCTAACAATTCAATCTTGCCCAGCTAATACCCTTTTAAAACATTGGTTCCCTTTTCCTCCTTTAGAATCAGTTTCTACCACTTAATAATGAATAACCAATCCATGACACAAGCATTGTTTGTTGATTTTCAAAGAACTGCCTATGGTGCCCCAGGAGTGCTTTACAAACACCAGAAAAGGTAATTAATTGTTCTCTTTTAAATGATCCCTCAAAGACATTTTTTGATGTTTATATTGCTTGGGCATGGTACTCATTATTGTCACGCTGCCTACTGCATTTTTGTTGTTTACCTTCTCTTATCTCTGTCGTTTAGTTTGTAAAGCATCTGGGAAAAATCCAACTTTTTCTTCTGTGACTACAGCCTACAACACAAAAGACACCTGATCTGTGACAAGTGCTGCTATACACTACAGTAACCAAAATAATTAATCTTCAATTTTTAAAACAGGTGACCAGCATAACTACATATTTCCTGGCTGTTTTCCTGCAATTTTTTTTTTGTCAGAAGTCCTTCCTTGCTTCCATCACCGCAGATGAAGATAGCTCCTCTGACATATGACCACAATATACCTAGCTCCTCTATAGACGCCCGCCTGCCATAGTGTACCATTTGCTCATTCTCATCTCCATGAAGCTTCTACCCCTCCCCAAGTTCACTGAAGACCCTTTGTAGCCTTTATCTATAAGAGAGACATGTCCATGGAAATGCAAACACTAACAGGCCAGCCAGACAACTAACAGCGAACTCTTCCATTTGCTTTTTCTGACTGGAAGCATCACTAAACAGTCATTCTCCTCTACTACCCATTAATCTTCACAAAATTTTAAAATCTTGAAGCCACCTCTATACAGTACCTTGCACCTACTGGTCAATTTCAAAGTTACCAGGAGAAAAAGGAAGCACAACTGAAGAAAAAAAAAAAAGGTGCAGCAACAATACTTGCACAAATGTGGAGGAACAATACTAGCAGAAAACCAGTTTCTTACGTTATGCTTTAAAGACCATCACAATGCAAAATCATAGTTCTAACTCTATGATAGCCTAAAAAATACATGCTTATATAAAAGTGTATGTGCTGAAAATTGAGAAATCACTTGTAGAAATTGGTTTTCAAATAAACTGCAGCAGGATTCTATCCATCACTTTTGCTCAGGAGAAATTAACATCTTTCCTTAATATCATTGATAATACTATAAACACCTAGGACCGAAAGAAATCACTTACACATCTCCATCTGGGCAGATTCCTGTAGTCTCATCATATTTTGTACAATAAACATCTGGACTGTAGTTAAAAGTCCCATCACGCCTTCGTATAGGTCTACGACGACGCTGATTTAGGAAATGCCAATGAAAACAGGTAAATGGTCTGTGCTGGGTACACTTGTGCTGCAAAAATAGGGGGCACTGCTCTGTCCTAAATTCCTTTAGATACCTAAAAAAATTAAACTGTGTTACAAGTTTATCTTATTGGAGGCACATTTTTACAGTATTAACAGGGCACTTGACAATTCAGTGCACACAGCCCATGAAAAATTGTACGAATGTACCTGCATACAGTTTTAGTTTCTATGCACGATTTACGGTTTCACTGTTGAATACAAGTGACTTCATCATTTTATGACAGATGCATTACTAATAAAACACAGTGGAATACCTGGCAAATTATACTATGTTTTATAACTAAACTAAAATAAAATAAATACATTAATGTAAAAAGCACAGTATTTAGAATATTGACCTAAGTAACCACCAAACAGAATTATAAATCCAACAAGTTACTTGAATAAGCACTCATATTGCTTGCTACCATACAAAATAGTCCTACAAAAGCTATTTTTAGCTAAATACCACATCTAATTTAAACATTAGTCCTTAATTGCAACATTCCCACAATGTGGACACACTACACAGAAAGCCAGAGGGTTAAAAGAGCTTTATGAAGGTTATCAGGGGCTATGAGAGGACTTCAGCAAACTTGTTTTAGCAACTGTTACATTTGTGTTGAGATAGTCTGGGGTCTTTGAAGGTTACTTAGGTGTTAGTAAGACAGTCCTTCATTAGCATGCAGGGCACAGAAGCTAGTTAGGAAGTCTGATACTTCTTTCCACAGGACATCAAGGTCATGCCAGACTGGGCACTACTGTGGCATTTGTCAAAGGATGTAACACAGCACTTCTTCCTGTCTCAGCTTAGGTATCTATTGGCCAATGTTTTAGTCGCTAAAGTTATGGAGTATTTGCAGAGGAAGGAGTATATGGAGGCTTTGTAAAAGAACCTTAAGAGTTCCCGGAGGTCTCTAAAAGGGTGCAGGATGTGTAACAGGCTACAGGGGAATTGAAGATATAGGTAAAGGATTAGAAAGAGGAATAAAGGGTGTCTTTTCGTTGTCAGTCGCTTAAATTGGCACACGGGGGATGTAATGACAGAGAGTTATGAAGTACATGTTTAAGTTTAGAGAAAAATCTCTAAACTACCCAGGATCGGGGGTGGGGAGAGGGACAACAAAAAAAAACAAATAGAATTTTTGGACGTTGAGGGCCGTAGCAGTATCTAGGTAAGTGGTGACATTCTTGTCGTCTTTCTGAGAGTACTGGAAACATGACATTATGGAAGTGATGATTTGGAGGATAGGAGTGAAGGAATCCCACAATTAAGCGATAAATTATTCTGCATTTGTGGGGAGCACATGCTCCTACAGGAGATGGGCTGTCAGTAGTGCTAGAGGTCTGCAGGGACTTTATAGACCCCACCAAAAGAAAACGGATAGGCTTGCAGAGAGAATGGTGAGCACATGGGAGCCGTCTTTCAGTATGAGAAGGTCTGCAAAAGTTGTCGCGGAAACGTCCAAAGGACTCGAGCCGAGGCCAGCTACGCAACGCTGAGAAGCGGAAAGATGGGAGGGCTTGGAGAGGTCGGTCTCGTGGTGCGAGAGGGCGCTGCGGGGCTCGGGATGCCGGCTGATCACGGCGAGGACCAGAGAGGCACAACCGTGGGAGCGGAC